TCCCTGTAACAGCCCCACCAGCGCCGGTACCCGCCAGGGCCTCAGGTGACCACTGCCTCATGCCCTGGCGGGTTCCGGTGTGGGCAGGCTGGGTGGGAACAGAGGAGGAGGCCTGTCTAGGCAGAGAGGCAGATAGATGCCGAGCAAGGAGTCCAGGGCTGTGCGGAGCTTGTGTGGTGGGGGGGTGGGCAGTCAGGAACCGCCACTGTAATGCGGACTGGAAGCCGCAGGCTGGGCAGAGAGAGGCCGCCCCCATCGTGGACTCTAAGGCCCTTTCTTGGGGGTGTGCGCCTAGCCCAGGGCCCTTACGGATCCTCACAGCGCCCCCAACGCCCACCCCCAGGCTGGGGGCCGGGCGCTTCCCGAGGAGGGGCGGGGCCCGGCCGAGGCTTAGCCCTGGAGGGCGCGGGGCACCTGGGCACCTGGCCCAGGCGGGCGGGCGGGCGTTTGTCAGGCGGCCCCTGCAGAGGTCGTCGGCGCTCAGTGACGCAGAGGTGGTCGGGCAGCCATCAGAGTAAATATAAAGAGGCCCAGTGCGAGGAAGAAATAGAACCCCCGCCGCGAAGACCACTGGAGATGCAGATGAGGGGGCGGTGGGAGGTGGGGCGGCGAGTGCCCAGGGCTTGAGGGGAGGTGGGGGGGGCAGGGGTGCGCCACCCCGGAAGGAGACTGGAGGCCTTCACGTAGTGGACGCCCCACGTGGCTCAAAAACCCCGGCCTGCGGCTGAGAATTGAGCGCGGTCTGTGTCAGGTTGGCGACCGTGCCCGCTGGAAGGCCGAGGGTCCCCCCCCCCCCCTCCCGCGCCCATAAGAAGCTCCGCTTCTGGGGCCGGTCCCCTTTGAGCCAAACGTAAGGTCCAACGCAGCTTGACGTCCCCGTTACATCATCGCGGGTTTCCACAGCAACGAGACGAGCTTTTGATGCCTGGTCTTCAGGAGAAGCTATTTGGGGCCCTTTGGAGCTTTCGCGTCTGGTTCCAGGCCCCGTGCCCCGGGGCAGAATGCTGGGGGAGGGGCTGGCTGCGTGTAGGTACCCCCTCCCCCCCAACACCACGCCGTTCCTTCGCTGTCATGGGACCTACTGGGCGGGGGGGTGGGGGGCGCATTCACATGACGGACACAGAAGTCCATGGAACCGGGGGGGAGGGGGGGGATCGTTTCTATCCTCCCGCCCGCTCCGCTCCTTCTACACGCGCGGTAATCGTGTCTTCTCCGGGGGTCGCCTGCTCCCCACCCGCAGCTGGCTCCTGGGAGGATGGGGGGGGGGGGCGGTGCAGCCTCCTCTCCGAGGCTTGGGGAGGGGGTATAGGATGAGCGGCAAGTCTGTGCTGATGGGTGGATGGATGCGGGTGGCCACGGGCTCTTAGGTGAGAGCCCACGAAGCTCGGCTACAGGTCACGTCACCGACTCGCTTTCGCACCCCCCACCGGGATGCTGCGTCAGGAGGCGCGCGCCCCTGCGCACGGGCACCAGCCTCCGCGCGCCTCGGGCTGCAACTGCGTAGCGCAGGGGCCTGCGATCTTAGCTGGGACCCAGCAGCGCCCCCCACCCCCCGCCGCCCCCCGCCCAGCCGCCCTCCTGCCCCTCGCCCTGCAGGCCGAGCGTGGGGTTGGCTCCTGCTTCAAGGGCAGGTTGACTTTGGGCTAGCAGCCCAGCCCTGAGGGCCCAGGAGCGGGGAGGGGTACAGTGGGGTGGGGAGACCTAGGGCTGCACCCGGCCTTGGCTTCCCACGTCCCAGTCGGTCACTGTGGCCCGCACCCAGAGCTGCCGCGGCAGGTGGTTCCCGAGACTCCCCTCCCTGCTCCTGGCCCCACGCTGCCGGCCCACCCCCTCCCGAAGCCCGATGCGTTTCTCGGTGCTGGGGCGCGACGCTCCTTGGTCAACCCCTTACTCCCCTTTCCCTACCCCTTACCCCCTTACCCGCCCCCCCCCCCCCCAGACAGACTGGGGTCCTGGAACTGCCCACCCCCACCCCATCTCAGGATGGCCCCCCCCACTCCCATCTCAGGATGGCCGCAACCGCTGACTCAGATTTTCGGGGCTGGAGCCGGTCACGGGGAGGGGCTGCGGTCACCATGGCGGGGCTGATGTCCAGCCGTCCTAACCCACCCGAGCTTCCCCGCTCCGCTGAGGACGGGGGATGTGCGAGGCTAGACACCGCGGCCCTTCTGGACGGTCCAGGCCGAAGTTCGCCCCGCCGCCCCCCCAGTCCGGGTCAGCGCAGACCCCACAGGAGGACCCCGTCCGCCACGGGGCTCCCCTCCATACACTCCTCCTGCACACGCACCTGCACACCCGCACACCCCCGCCTACCGCCGCCCTCACCCCCACCCCAGGGCTCCATAGGGATAAATGTGGAAATGGCTCACAAGCGGCTCCAACGCGCTGCTGCGGCAGAATGCGGTCTCCGGAGGAGGATGCGGTTCCAGACGCTTCGCAGCCGCAGTCGGGGTGGGGCGGGGGAGGGGCCGAGCCCCAGACCGAGGCTGCTGTTGCTGGGGAGACGCAGGCTGGGGGAGGGGAGCCCGGAGCCTGCCCCCCACCCGGGCTGCACCGGGCACCACAGCCTCACACCCCCTCCGACGCGTGCGCGCACACACACCTCACGCAGGGCACAGCGCTCTGGCCAGCTGAGGCCTGACTGCTCCTGCACCTGGGCGCGGGCTCTCAGTCCTGGCTTCCGTCAGGCTCTCAGACTCTCCCTCCCGCCTGCCTTGGTCAACTGGGTTGAGGTCCAGCTGGGTTTGGCCCCCACCCACTCGGAGGAGGGCCTCCTTCTCCTGTTTCAGCGTCTGGAGCTCGGGGCAGTCCGCTTTCCTTGGGCAAACCAGTCACTCCTGGTCACTGTTGCCCCGGCACCTGCTCGGTGCTGGCAGAGAAGGCGCTCAGCAGGTGTTTGGTGAGTGTCATGGGAGACGTGACCCCCCTCCCCCAAGGGCTCAGCCTCGCTCACAGCTGGAGGACAGCAACGGCAGCAGCTGGATCAGCGCTCCAGCCCTTTCGCTGTTGAATACCGTCCCATGTTCAGATGGGCCTCCTTTTATCCATCCATCCACACAGGCCTCTGGACCGTTCCTGGTTTTGTCTGTTCATGTTGCATGGATGCTCTTGGAGTCCTTGTGCGGACACAGCTTCATTCCTCTTGGGTGGGTACCTAGGAGTGGAGTTGCGAGGTAGGGTGGTAGTTCACATTTCACTTTTAAAGAAAATGCTAAAATAAAATTTTTTTTCCAAAGTGCCTGCACCATGGTATATCCACCAGCCATGTATGAGGCTTCAGTTTCTCCACACACCCTCCTCAGCACTTGCTACTGTCTGTCTTTTTTTAAAAAAATTATAGTCATCTCTATGAGTTTGCTAGTCCCACCCCCTGACCTCAGAGGAGGGGAGAGGGGCTGGAAGTTGAACCCATCACCAGGGCTAAGGATTCCATCAATCATGCCTATGTAATTAAGCCTCCATAAAAAACCCAAAAGGACAGAGTTCGGAGAGCTTCCAGGTTGGCGAACACATGGAGATTTGGGGGGACGTTTCCCCAGACCTTGCCTATGCATCTCTTCCATCTGGCTGTTCCTGAGTTGTATCCTTTTATAGTAAACCAGTGATCCAGTGAGTAAAACATATCTGGGTTCTCTGAACTGTTCTGGCAATTTGGTCCAACCCAAGCAGGGGGTCATGAGAACCTCCAACCTATAGCTGGTCGGTCATTGTTATTGGTGACCAGATTCATTAAAGGCCTCGGTGCCAATACAAAATGGGCAAGCATTCGTGTCACCAAAGAATTGAACCCAACACCTTTCAGTGCATGGGACCACACCCAACCAACTGAGCTGCAATGGCCAGGGTGATGTCCAAATATATTTCATTGTACATTTGAAATGTGTAGTTTACCATTGGTCAATCAAACCTCAATAAAACTGTTTAAAGAAAGGCCCTTGTGTGCCTGGCAGTGGCAATGGGGTCTGAGGTTGAGCCCTTGCAGTGATGGACCCAAGACAGAGTCCCTTCCCCAGGCTGAACCCCAGATCTTCACTCAATGGCTTGCCAGCCCCTCAGGCTCTCTGAGAGGTCAGGACACCAGCCCCCACATGGGAGCCTCTGCCAAGCCCTGAGGGACAGAGACCCAGGAGCCCCCAGTCATCCAGCTCCCACATTCACATGGCTGTAGAAGGTCTGGAGGAAGAGGGACCTCAGGGACACTGGAGTCTGGGCCAATGGCTGGCGGGAATTTCTTCCAACCTGAGACCCAGTCTGGCATCTCGCCAGGTGCCATCAGAGCCTCACAGACTCCCCTTCAGGCCAGCCCTCTGCCTGGGCAGCCTTTACCCTCCCATCCTTTGCACCACCCCGCCCTGATTTCCTAGGACAGCTCAGGCTTCTTTAGTCAGTAGGCACTCAACCACTGGGCTGAGGGAACACGGGCATGGGGCCCAGCTGGCACCCCAGGCAGCTCAAGCCCCCCACCCAGGGCCATCCTACCCCCATCCCACCAGCACCACCTCCAGACCTGCCCTCCTGCCTTTGGGGCTGAAGAAAGGACCTTGGTCCCCTCTCTAAGGGCCACCCCAGTGTCTGCAGCTGGAGGAACTGATGCATAAGCCTCCACTCCACTCAGGGCCACCTGAGTAGCGGCTGCACCTACCTCCAGGCGTCCTGCAGTGTGCGGTCACCACAGCCCCCCACCCAGGTCCCCAGGTCCTTAGGTTGCAGGAGGGTGTCTACCTGTGTGACCTCTGGTCTCACACCCAGGAACTCACCGAGTCAAGAGGCCCAGACCTACTGGGAGGTGGAGGCCTACTTCCCATCTGAGGCTCCATCTCGGGCACCTGGGGGCTGCCCTCGGGAGCCAGCAGCCTCCCTGCGCTCTGCCTTTGTGAGTGAGAGTGGTACTGTTGCTTAAAACTTTGGACTGAACATTGACACTTTTCCATCATATTTCTTTAAAAAAAATTTTTTTTTTATTGATTTTAAAAAGAAAGAAAGGGAGAGGTAGAGAGATCGAAACGTTGATGAGAGAGAAACTTCAATCAGCCACTTCTGCATGCACCCATTGGGGATTGAGCCCGAAACCCAGGCATGTGCCCCGACTTGGAATAGAACCAGTGACCTCTTGGTTCAATCACTGAGCCACACCGGCTGGACTCCATCATTTTTCAGATAGAGAGAATCCCAGCCGATCAGCAGCCCCCCAAGGACCTGCCGGTCACGCGCCCGGCTGGGTGAGGTCTGCGTGCTGCCAGGAGGGCAGGGCCTGCTGGTAGTGTTGTCGGGCTCAGGGGTCCTGATTCCTCACCCGTCTAGAACAGGGCTTCGGGGGCCAGCACCCCCTTCTTGAGGATGAGGTTTCCGTAGAGGGCCGTCTCCCTGCACAAGGAGCTGAGCTGAGCCCAGAGCCGAGCCAGGGTGCCCAGATCCCTGCTGTGCACCACCGCTGGACAGCTCAGTGACCCCATTCCCTAGGGACCATCTGTCTCAGGGGGGCAGGGGCTGAGCAGAGGGTGGGGAGCTCTGGAGTGGGGAGAGGGAGGGCCTCACACTCAGCCCAGACCCAGTTGGACCCAGGCAACCCATCAGGACCCAGTGGATCCAGCCAGAACTCACCCAGTTGCTACAATAGCAAAGGCCTTCTTGGCTTGCTGATAAAACTCAAACCTCTCTATCTTCTCAAGGGGGCTCTGGAAGGCAAACCAATGTGGTTGAGGGACCCTGCCCAGAAACCCCATGGGCCCAGCAGGGGCATCAGGAGGCATGGTCTCTCTGAGCTTCATTTCTCTGGTTCTCCAGGCCAGGGTCCCAAGCATGCTCGGCCTCCTACCTGCAAGGACCAGGCACTGGGGGGTGGGGTGGGTTGGGGGTGGAAGGGAGCCAGGCTATGGGGGGTGAGATGCCTGCTGTGCTTGGTGGCCGCCTGCCTGGGACCCCTGAGCCCCTCTGATCTGCCCCAGGGGTGGGGTATGGGAGCCACTGTCCAGGACAGGAGACCCAGATGTCCTCTCTTCAGGTAGGTCCTACCCAAGAACTGCCTGTGTGGGTGGTCCCGGGAGGACAGGCTCGACCCCTTGCAGGGTGGCATGGCATCGGGGTGTCACACAAAATCAGACCAGGCCTCTGACCACAAGATGGGGGCCTGGGGTACCCTACTTGCCCTGGCTCCACTTGGAGAGGCTGGGGTGGGTAAGGGCCCTAGGCAGACAGGTCAGGATCCTGGGAAAACATAGGAAGCTGGGGGCCGGAGGGTGGTCCCACGGTCATGCTCCCACGTGGGTGAATAGGCGCTCACACAACCATAGGGCAGAGTTTGGGGCCTGTCCTTCCTTCCTCCCAGGCCTCCAAGGAAGCGTAGAGGGTCCCAACCCCGTTCTCGGTGGGGGCAGCAGGCTCACCGAGCAGCCAGCCTCCAAGAGGATGGACTGGTAGCTCTTCCACACCGGGGTCTGGAGGCCCCTCTCCTTGTCACTGGACACCAGCTCCATGACAGCAGCCTGGGACAGAGGGGCCAGTCTGTCCCCGGGTGCCTCCAGGCCCCCCTTGTTGGGTGATGGTTAGGGCTCTTCTGATCAGGGTTAGAACCCTTTGAGGACACATCCTCCCCCCAACTCCCCAAAGGCAGGTGTGCCCTATGAGGTCTGGAAAAGGGGCCCTCACCGGACTCTCCACATAGGTGTCCAGTGGCAGCAGCTTCAGCACGGCCTCCAGGAGCTGCGGGATGCCCAGGCCTGAGGGCAGAGTGCTGGCCTCAGACTCCAGCCCTCCAAACCCAGGTGCCCACAGCGCCACCTGGTGGCTGGGCCTGGCCACACGGTCTCACTCAACCATCAGGGACCGACTTGGCCCCAGGATAGAGGGGCCACAGGCCAACTGCTGCCCCCCTGGTGACACTCATGGAGGTCACACTGGTGTCTCCTCACCCTGGCCACTGCACCTGTCACTGTCTGGCACTGGGCCAGCCCTGACCATCCCCTTCACCCTGCACCATGAAGGTTGTTGGGGGTACCCTCAAAACCTATCCACCAGGAGGAGCGCCCTGCCATCTCCTTGACCCCAGAGGCTGGGAGTTGCCACCTTTAGCCTGTGACAAAGACAGTGGGGTCTGGGAAGAGGCCTCTTTTGCCCAAGGTGCCCCCAAACCTGTCCCACTTGGCTCCCAGGCCCGCGCTCTCCCATAAAGTGAGTTTCTGATTGTTAAAGTAACGCATGCTCATTGTACAAAATTGGGAAATACAGAAGCCTATGAAAAGGAACCAGCTGTAATCTTACCACATAAAGGGAACCTGCTGCCATCGAAGTTCACCTTCTTCTGCACGATTAGACTTTTCTGCCTGCTTTCCACTCTGAATCCTAATTGCTTGTTCTCCACTAATGCGCACGGTGTGTGTGTGTCACTTTTGGTGGCTGCACTGTGATTTACTTAAACACCCCTTATGTTCAGCTTTTCCCACAGCCCACCTGGTCCCACCCTCCTCGGGAAGGAGAGCACCTGGTCACCTGGCCCAGGATCTAGCCAAGGCCGGATGGTTCAGCTCTCTGAGTGGGGAGTGGTAGCCAAGGCAACGGGTCAGGATGGGGCCCTCACCCCAAGGCCCCCCTACTCAGTACTGCTGGTTCTGCTCCTACCATCCTCTCTGGAATCTGGCTCAAGGTCCCTCCCAGCCTCACCTCCCATCCACCGTGAGCGTCAGAGGCTCTCTGAGTATGCGGACACCTGGGGCCTGTGAGGTCAGGTCACCAGTACTGGGATTTTTGCATCAGGGTAAAGGCTGAAAACCTGACTGACCTGGGGGAGGAGGGGGCCCCACTGCTCAGTCAGCCAACACGATGCCTAGCCTCCATTTCCCCATTTTCAAGAAGTCACCAAGGGGTGTCAGAAATGGAGCAGGAGGCCCAGGTCACCTCTGGGGGCTGGGGGCTGCAGGGAGCACCTTGAGGGTCCTGGCACACGGGTCGCCGTGGGTGCTTGGGGAATGGGTGGAGGTGGGGGCAGAGCTGTAGCACCTGGGGAGCTGGGACCAGGACCCCCCACCTTTCCGGCCCCGCCTTGCAGGAGGTGGCCTGCTCACCATCTGCGCGGATCTCCTCTGGGCCACACTTGCAGATGGAGGACGTGGGGAAGTTCATGTCTGCAAGAACTGAGCGGCCAGCTGGGTTAGACATCCTGGGGTCCACATGGGTGTTATGTTACACCATCTCCGCCAGCCTCCCACCCTTTCCCAACAGGGAAATCCAAGGGCCAGGGAGGGGAGGGAGTTACCAGGTGAAGGAGCAACTGTACAGGTGTTAGCAGGATGAGGGCGGAGCTTGGACCTGCAGCCTGCACCCTGAATCCCGCCCACAGCCCAGGAAAAGAGAAACAGCCCCACACACCGGGGACGCGACCCCTCCGGGGCCATGTGGGGAGGGGTCTGGAGCGTGAGCAGCACACAGGGCCTGAGGCCCCTCTCCACCCCTTACACTCGGCTGGGCTGCGGGAGCGACCAGCCCGCCCCGACTTAACCCTGTCCGGGCCGAGTGCACTTGTCCTCGTGACCGCCTGGGGCCAACCAAAGCCGGGGCTGCGGCCTGGGCCAGCCGGAGCCTCGGGAGCGGGTGGAGTCCTGCTCCGAGGAGGGACAGGGCCGCCAAAGCAGTGCCTCCCCCTCCGGACCGGTCTTCTGGGCATGGGGACAGTCTGGGCCAGGACCCCGGAGGGAGTCCCCACCCCAGCCCCGGCGCCTCCCCTGACTTCTGCCGCGAGGGTGGGGCTCCAGATCCTGAGGCTCGGCCCCCCCGCCCCCGCCGACTCACTCACCGATGGTGTCCCCGTGCCCCATCCGCGCCAGGGCGTAAAGCAGCTCTGGGGACAGAAGCGCCGGGATGCCCTTCAGCACCACCATGCTCGCAGGAGGAAGGGGTGTGGCCGTGGGCGGGGCCTGCACGGAGGGGCGGGGCCTGCACGGAGGGGCGGGGCCGCTGGAGCTGGAAGAGGGTGGGGCTGCGCCCGGGTGTGTGGTGTGGGACCCAGCCCCCAGCCCGGAAGGCACCCTTCAGGGCCTCGCGTCCCTGGCCAGTTCAAGACCCGGACACCCGCGTGTGTTTCTGGTCGGGGCTCCCTACCCCCTCCCATCCCTGGTGTCCTGGGGTAGGAAGACCCCGTGGTGGACTTACTCCCTGGGCCTGCCCTGGAGAGGACCCCAAGGGCTGTGTACTGGGAGTACCTGGATGGGGCTCTCCCAGCACCGCCCACCAGCTGAGAGCCACTGTGGCCTGTCTGGATTCCTGACCCACTTAGACTGTCAAAGAATAACTGACTTAGGGCTAAGCCCCTAAATTTAGGGACCATTTGTTATGCAGCAATAGCTGACCAATGCAGGTGGCTCCTGTGCCTTGCTGACACTACCCTTGGCCTCCAGCCTGTGTCTGCTCTCCCGGCCCCCTCCCCCCACTCAGACTGTGGGGCAGACAGCAGCACAGGCCCCTGAGTGCACGGGCGTAGTCACACCCTCACGTAAGAACCCACCACCAAACTCAATGCTCAGCCTGCAGATGGGCTCCTGCTTAGCTCCAGTGGGCCTCAGCCCTCCCTGCTCTGGCTCCTCAGCCCTCACCTTGCAGGGCTGCCCTGCTTACCTACCCACCTACCTCCCCTGCAGCCCAGAGGCCAGCCCAGGCCAGGCTGTCTCCCATCAGAGCCCGCCATCCTCCACTTTGTTCCCAAATGCACACTGGGCTGTGCGGCCAGTGCTCTGGCCACAGCCCTCAGCCGTGTGGTGACACAAGATGCTCAGAGCCTGGCAGCTCCTTGGAAAGATCTGTGTGTACATGAAAGACAACGAAGCCACAGTGAAACCCTGAAGGAAACAAAGCCTTCTCCACATCTTACAGCTTGGCTCTGGGAGCCCGGCTGGCTGAGGGAGCCAGGTGGGAAACCCAGTCTGGCGTCCAGCAGTGCCCTGAACACACAGCCCTGGACGGGTGGTTCAGAGGGTGGCAATCAGCAAGGCCAGCAGCCGATTCCACCCAGGGTGAGGGTTGTACCTGAGCAGTTTCCACTCTAAGTTTAAGTGGGGAGACTTACAGTCAACATTCGCCAAAGCTTTATCTTTTTAGTAGAAATAGATGAGGGGAAAGCTGGTTTTTTATAGATGAGGAGGAAAAGTTTCCGTTTCAGAAATAAACCAAACCCCTAAAACAACCTGAGGCCAGAGGTCACTTAACTCAAGAGGGAGTGGAAGCTCACGCAGGGGTTTGTGGTCCATCAGTCACAGTAGAGCACATGGCCACACATTATAGCAGTGATGGCGAACCTATGACGGCGTGTCAGAGGTGACACGTGAACTCATTTTTTTGGTTAATTTCTTTGTTAAATGGCATTTAAATATATAAAATAAATATCAAAAATATGTCTTTGTTTTACTATGGTTGCAAATATCAAAAAATTTCTATATGTGACACAGCACCAGTTAAGTTAGGGTTTTTCAAAATGCTGACACGCCGAGATCAAAAGGTTCACCATCAGTGCACTATAGTCTCCTGACAGCCAGAGGTCCCCACATACCCCAAGCCCCAGGCCAGCATGAAGCCTGAGAGAAGGTCCCATTCCACCAGGCCTGGGGGGTAGGGGGTGGACTCTTTTTCCTGCAAGTTCTGGAACCCAAATAAGCCTGTGGTGACAGACTTCTGAAATACGCTGGCTCAGTGTGAACCATTCTTGGCTTCCGACTGAGCACGGCGAAGACAAGGGTGTGAGGTCTCAACAAGATCCTCAGAACCGGCACCACTCCACTCTGGGGACCCGCAGCTCAAAATCAAAGTGTGGAGGCCACTGCCCAAAGCATGTGCAAAGTAAACCAGTGAACGAACAGTTCTCTCAATTTTATTCTGTAATTTACTTATTTATTTTTTAAAATTTTTATTGATTTCGGAGAGGAAGGGAGAGGGAGACAGAAACATCAATGATGAGAGAGAATCATTGATTGGCTACTTCCTGCACGCCCCACAGTGGGGACTGAACCCACAATCCGGGCACGTGCCCAGTCCTCCTGGTTCATAGGTCGACGCTTAACCACTGAGCCATGCCGGCCGGGTGGTTTTCTGTGTTAAGACTCCATCCCTGGATACTCGGCTTGTCTACTCACCTCTAGGGTAGGTGGCACGTCACACAGCAGATCCCTGGCCACTCATTCAGCTTCAATGAGTGAGTATTTCCACATCTACCTGCATGCAGAACACCCTGCCTCCGGGCCTGCTGTCCCAGGGCCGGCCCACTGCAGGCAGCTCCCCTTGTACCTACTTCTGTCATCAGCACGCGTCAAAGCGTAAAGACCCGAGGCTCCTCTGAAAAGAATGGCTCTGTTCTCAGCACCGGGAAGCGGGCTGATCACAAAGACACCACCACCTCCTTCTCAAACTGCTCCCTTCTGAAGCCTGATCTGGATTTCAGATCACAGCACAGACAGACCTGGTGGAGACTGAAGAGCTAATACCTGCCAGGCAGACAGTCTGCACAGCACGTCAAACTCTTGTTCTGACCAGTGCCCCACTTGGCTGCATAAATACAACCAAAACACAAGGGCATGTGATCTAAGGCAGTCAGACAGCTGAAGCTTTCAGATCGTTTCAATTCTTTCTCAAATGCAGGTGGGTTTCTCCTTGGTGTTCAGCTCCATCCCAGCCCCAGGCCATGACCCACACATGAAGTGACCTCAGCCATGGGGCCAGACTGGGGGGCACGTGGCAGCCAGCAGGGCCGCACTCGCTGGGCCTGTCTATTACGTTGCTTTGCTCTGTGCCCCAGCATGGAAAGCCAGCAGGGTCCCTCACCGTGGAGGGTCTAAGGATGTTCTGGGGCTCCCAGGAAGCCCTCCCAGGTGGCAGGACATGGGTTTCCTTCCAGGGCCCCAGGACTTGTTCCTCTCCCACTGGACGTTTACGCGAGAGCCTGGTTTAAGATGGAGGGTCCAGAGTTCTGAGCGGGGCTGTGATGTGAGAATTAAACGGTGGACATCCAGAGGGGGCAGGTGGCTTCCTATAACTAGGGTCACCCGGTTACCCAGTGTCCTATGTGCTATCTGACACTGCAGTGACCCAGGGGATGCAGCTGGCCCTCCCCAAGAATGAGGCCAGCAGAGGGAATTTAGTGCGTAGACTGTCTCCCCCAGCAAATGGCACTAAGTGTGACAGCCACCACTCACATTTCTGTTCGGGCACCTCCTACACCACGCATGCAGCAGCTCTGATCCAGGCCAGGGAATGGGATCCCGATGCAAGTCCTGACATCAGGCTTGGAGACTCAGCCAGCCCAGCACTGAGAAGAGGCCCTGCTGACCCACAGCCCGAGTTCCCTCACGCGCAGCCCTGCAACGTGCAGGCTCCTTCTCACAATCTCAGACATGCTCCACTCAAGTGCAAGGTTTCCTGCTCACAGTGTTATCCATGATCGTTCCGACAGCAAGAGACGATGCAGTCTACATACTCAACACCTGGGAAAGCGTAAATTACAACATACCAACATCATAAAAACATTCCAGGGCCATTTAAAAGAACGCTAGTAGGAATACTGTTCCGCAATGAAAAGAAACTATTACATGTTATGGCCTTGATGGACCTTGAAAACATTATACTAAATTCAGAAAGCAGTGTAGAGGGTGCCAGGGGCTGGTGGGGTGGGGAAAAGGGAGCTGGAGTTCATGGAGATAGTCTGTTTGGGTTGATGAAACAGTTTGGAGGTGGATGGTGGTGATGGCTGCAGGACTCTGAACACACTTAATGCCACTGAAATGTATATTTTGAAATGGTTAAAAATCCCCAGCAGCTTGTATGGCCGGAACATATTTTACCACAATTAAAAAAGAATTCTAGCCCAGCCGGCATGGCTTAGTGGTTGAGCATCAATCTATGAACCAGGAGGTCATGGTTCGATTCCCAGTCAAGGCACAAGCCTGGGTTGCAGGCTTGATCCCGTGTGGGGTGTGCAGGAGGCGGCCGATCAATGATTCTCTCTCATCATTGATATTCCTATCTCTCTCCCTTTCCCTTCCTCTCGGTAATACATAAAAACATATTGAAAAAGAAAAAGAGAAGACACTCAGGTCAGAATGCGAACATTCTCCAGACACCGATTCTCACAACTCCACACCGTTGGAGAGAAAGTGCACGCACCTACACTGCTCTTTAAAAGAGAGGGTTTATTTGTTCTAAAATAATTTGTCCTCTTTCAATGGAGGTTTTAAGGCAAAGGCAGCAGCTCTTACTGGTCTTTGAAGTTGGCCTTTCTCTTCTCCACAAATGCAGTCATCCCTTCTTTCCGGTCCTCCTGGGGAAAGGAAATAAAGCAGAGCTGGACGTCACATGTCCTAGTGGGTCAGGTGCAGGGCTCTCCACACTCACAGGCGGGGGTCCTGCAGCAGGACCACCTGGAAGCCTGGGAATGGTCCGATTCCCTGACCGAGTAGGGCTGGCCTGGGAATGGGTATTTTTACATACCTCCTCCCCTCACGCCCAGGTGATGCTCACTCAGGAACCACGAACCTCTGTGTCAAATAAACTCTCATCTACAGAGAACCTCAGATGCACGCTATTTGGGTCATTCACCAAATCATCTGAATTCAGCAGTACCCTGGGTGTCATAAGGCAGGAATCCAGACTCTACCTCTGCCTCTTTTCCTGTGTGTACACGTGTGTATACACACATCTGCACTTCCTCAAGAGCCAAAGCCATTTTTTATCTTTCTTCCATAAAAAACCTATATATGACCTTCTGATAATAGAAGAGGTAAATCTGTATTAGAAGAATGATTTCCTTTGTCACTAGCAGAAATCCTAGAAAACATTGTTCTAAACCCCATTTCAAGTGACTGGAGTGACAGGAAATCATGGGTAAATGGACTGCATTTAAGAGCCACCAGGAAGACCTTTTGTGACAGGAA